TGCTTAAAGTATCAGCATGGTTATTAAATAATATCGCATAGTTGAAAATGAATTTATCTGTGAACTGATTTATCTTTTTGGCAAATAAACTATACGTAATCTGTAAATCTCGCGAGCGTTCATTTATCGATAGCGTGAAAACCATGAAACACTGGGGGTGTAAGGTATGCAAGTCCGAACATAACATGTGGTATTTTCAATATTTTAGATAAAGTAAGTTGTCTACAGGCATCTTGGTTTCCAAAATTTACAGCTCATAAACCTTTATATTGAACATATAACTAGGATAACAAAACAAGAAGCAAACGAAGAAATAAAATAAATGATGAAGGCAACGGAATACTGTAGATTCTCAATTTTTCGCGTTACTAAGTTTTCGCGAAAATGGGTCTACGTGACTTTTTCGCGAAGCCATAAATTCGCGATATAGTATAATTATGTAATTTTCGGGATTTTTCGTTAAGTCTCCGTAACTAACCGACATAATATTTTTAGCACAAATCATTCTCATAAAAATGTTGTTTTTATTTTTTTTAAGTCATTACCGAAATTATACCAATCGTTATATTTAATCAACAAAAATGGCTTTGCCGTTAATTTTCTATGCTATTTGATGGTGAATATTTACTTTTCTTGGACGAAGCCTTTGTTTCAAGATTTTTAAATGATGTTTTAATGATTGGTTAAAATATGTTCGCATGTTGTTGCGCTTCTTTTTGACATTGTATTTATCTGTTATGTAAAACTGCAGAAAACGAACTTGGTACTAAAATGCTTAAAAATATAAGGTTCTAAATTTCGTTGAACAGCAAGAAATGCAGCGTGTTCGTGTATTTTTGATTCACTTACAAACGGATGTCGCAAAAAGAACAAAGCTTCTACTGAAAAAGTAGTTCCTCATTAACAAACAAAAAATAAATGTAAATGAAGATAATTAATTATAAACACACTTTGATATCTGACCTAATTTATTTTTGTCTTTCATTAAAAAGTGTGAGTGTACTTAAACGTCATCGCTCTCGTAACACTGTCTCGATAAAAAAAAATCCAGTCGGCCTACATTAAGCAAGCAACGCGTTTAACCTTCATAAAACGAGGTCACATTTGCATGTTCTTACGCGAGACACGGTGTACGGAATGTTTAAAACGTTGTACGACATTTACATCAACACGTTCACATTATGTACGTTTCGAGTTTAAAGATATTCAATGTTACTTTACCGCTAATATACCTATGCGACCAAGCTTTGGGACACAAAAAAAACCAACGTTTTTAGATCTGCCTCAGATCTGATGATTTTCCTTGGCCAGAGAACATTCTGTGCTTGCTTTTTACCAATCAAATATCCGAGATCTGAGTTTGGTCTCAGAAAAAAAAATGTTTAGTCCAAGGGCCAGTGCAGACAAAGATCAACTGGTACATCCGCCCCATCTGATTCTGGTCTGCACTATTCCCTATTTAGTCAGTATATATTTCAAAATAGTCCCTAAAACGATGAATGGTATTGTCCAGACTGTAAGATGGATTAGTTCATTTAAGATATTTAGGGATGTAAGTGTAAAAATGTCATACAGCAACTAGAATACTTGGGGAACATTTTCAAAGTGTTTCGGTACGCTTTATCAAAAACACTGAATTATTATTATTTTCTACTATATGCTACTGAATTGAAATATTGTTTAAGTAATGTAACCGTGATTCTGAATTTAAGAAGTTTCTTAAGAAGCTACTAAACAGAACATAAAATACTAAACTGAAGAAAAACAACAAAACTTCAGAATTGCTTGGCTAAAGAAATGCCCAAATTTTCGACTGACTTCAACAATAACGCTGTTTCTTGAGACCAATAAACAATTATCACTGGATACACACTTAAAGATTGAATTGTTTCTTATTGCTCGGAGCATACCATCAGCTTAGCTATTAATATCAATATTACCACAAGTATAATTTCTTACTAAAGAACATTTACTATTATCTACAATCATTAAAAGAAATCCGTGAGAATGTCGCATTTGTTCAGGTTTCTGCTAGAAAAAAAAACAACCGCCATTGGATTTTCCTGGTGAAGAAAAAAAATTAACCTCTTAAAACTTTCCGCCTTCGTATTGATTCTAAGATAAAAACCGCGCGCCAGTTTCAGCAGACAAGAGGGAAAACATGACTTTCCTCTCGTCTGAATCAAACCTTATCCTTCTTTATTTGTGGAATGGACTAGTCTTGCTTTGAATTTGGAGCAGGTCATTGTAAATTTAAGGCGGAGTAAGATATCAAAATAAAATCGGGTATACTTGAATCTGCACAGCCAGACACGGATGTACTGGCTCGCCTTGATCTATACTGGTACATTAATTACTGGTAACAGTCAAAGAATTAGATGTAATGTTCCCACAGGTACAAACCAATGTATAAAAGTAGTAATAACATGAAAGTAGGCAAAGCCTATGAACGGGGAAGTGTCAGATAAAAAGGTTCGTTTTTCATTTTTAAAGTGTCATTTCGGTAGTTCATGCACCGCTTCCGTTTTCAATAGGAACACTTTGGCGATTATTCTTTGGTCGAAAAGTTGCGACTATTCATTTATCGGAATACCCCCGCCGTTTAACGTTGAGTTGCATTAAAAATGGGGACGACCAACTAGAAATGATACTGAGTGTACCTTTCAAGCGGCATTTAGCAATGGTTACTGTTAGAAGTTTCCTTTATCAGTAGTTATTGTTTCAAACTACTGATCAATTTGATAGTTAATGTTTCAGTCCCCCTGTATCAATTGTAAATTTTCAAGTGTGATCAATTTGAAGTTACTGTTTCAAACGGCCTTCATCAATATTCACTATTTAAAACGTCTTTTCTCAATAGTTATCGTTTCAAACCATTTATCAATATACACTGTTTCAAAAGTAATCGTTTCAAATGCTCTTTATCAATATTCACTGTTTCAAAAGTTATTGTTTCAAGCGCTCTTTGTAAATGTTCACTGTTTCAAACACCTTATCTTAAAAGTTATCGTTTCAAACGTCATTCATCCTCACCTTTAAATATCAACAACAACCTATAACTCACACCATAATTCTGAGAAAAAAAAACACCTCAAATTTCATATGCTTATAATACCAATGGCGTATCAAAATCGCAAGCCATTTTTCATTAAAATTAAGAAAGTAGCTGAAAATCTTTGTTTGTTTGTTTGTTTTGTTGGATTAGGTAACTTTCCAGCTTTACTTGTGGAAGACGACCTCACGTGCCCCCTTTTTCAGGCACGAGCAGGCACTTGTTAGATTACGGTAGTAAACATGTGCTTGTATTGTTATATGAATGAAATGATAATCGCCCACTTCTTACAGAAAGTATCCTTTATAAGAAAACAATCACGTGAAAATATACTAAAATAGCACTTATTGCGTCAGCAATGGGAAAGAAATACGATGAAAATATTGCAAATTCCATCCAGTGTTTCATTTCTAAATTTCTAAAACTAAGATTTATGGGTCGAACATTTCTTTTCTTGTCTCGAGAAAATGGCATGAAACTAAATGCGTTAGGTCACGGCCAACTAAATATATCTTATATATCTACGACATGTATCTCATCTAATTTAGTGTCTTTCGAGTTGAGAATTTAGCACCAACCTTCAAGAAAAAATTCGAATAAATCTATCTTATGGTTAAACTGTGATTTTTTTTATTTTAATATAGTGTTAAGACTATTTCTCTAGGTTTGAGTTTTACTACAAATTTCATATGGCATTTGAATTTTGATCACTACAATCTTTAGTGTTCTGGGTATAACAAAATGATTTATATTGGGCTATCTGCGGCTCGGTGCAACTTTGTTTTACTAAATTCATTGCCATAAGCAGCGTAGTTTCATTAGCAATTTGGTACCCAAATAAACATCCAATTTTTCCAAATTCAAAGCAAGACAAATCCTTTATACAAATTAAGCAGAGTTCGGGATTAGAAGGCAAACATTCATGGATTTGTCGGGTTCTAAAAAACACGCATGCAGGTTTGCCTTGGTTCCGTACTATTTTTTGGTACGGCTTTTACCAGATTCTATACTTTCTGATTCTGAAACCCTCACATTAATATTGGACAGTTCCAAACTCAATTAATTGAAAAGTTCACGCATACATAGTAGGGTAATACAAGCTTACTGAATTTATAACAATAATGAATATATGCATGCATTTTATTTTCTGATTAAGATGATGTATGAATATCACGACACCTGTAATTCTAATGGCACGATTTATGGCACAAATTCGCAAGAAAATTGATTTGTGAATGTAAGGATTAGCGAAAATTAATCTTACGCGAATTAAACCAGTTCTACAGTATTTGCGATGACTTTTATGAAGGGTGCTCGATAGTATTTACAAATATTGTGATGAACGAACGTATTTATACAGACAAACATCTCATTACTTCTGTTTATTAAGAAAAAAAGAATACTGTTGTTTTTTTCCTTTACTCTGCATGCTCTATCAATTGCAATTATTGGCGGTATTTGTAACTTATGTGTCTACTGCAGACAATAACACATATAAATATGTGCATCAACGATATTAACTAATCGTTATTCTCGTGTGAAATGTTAAAGTTATATAGTATATTGCCATTTTATAATATACTTTGTACGTGAGCGCACGTGCGTCTCTACGAAACGGTAATAAGATGCAAACATGCGAAATCTTGATCTTATTTCTACATAAACAGAATATATTCGCCCTATAGCAGGTTAAATATACCCCAACGTAACATATATATCTCTTTCTTACTTTTATAACCGCATAACTGTATAATATTATTTTATATTCATGTATATAGTGTGGCGGTTGAAAAACTGGACCACAGACAAGGCTTCTTACATTATCACGTGCATTGATAGCAAAAAAAATCAACTAAATTGTTCAATACGATGTCTAAAAGATTGATCAATTTGCATTCACTGTGTTAATGGAATTCATCTTCCATGTCAACTTTGTGATCTATCATACCTTTTTCTAAATTACCTAGACAGCGCACGACAATATTCCATGAATCCATTATAATAAAACCACAAGGTGACAGTTTACCATAAAACCGATGTACTGAATGTACATAACTGATGTTGCGAACGTTTTATTCAACTCACATCAAAGACAGCGTGTTATATCAATTTCATTAGCACTTTTCCCATTGAACAAGTTGCTTTTTTCTCCTTTTTTCACAGAAGAAAATGAAAGACTTGATATAATACCAATTTGCGATGACATTAGAAATACAATATATCCTTTTAAATCCAATGCTCCATGTGAAATTAACATATGTGGCTAACGATGTGGTATTATTCCGTTTTTCTTTTACAAATTCCAGAAGAAAAAATATCACATAACATTTAAAATTACACAGAGAGAAAAGAGAAAAGAACTGTAGCTTTTTGAATACTGAGGTTGGTAATTAAGATTCAATGTTGAGAAAACGCAAAATTATGTTGTAAAACTGCCGAGTGTATCTGTTATAAGGAATGTTACATAGAGATAAGGAACGTCTTTCTATTACAGTACCGTAATACCCATAAAGTCTACACCACACGCACCTTCACCAGCGCGTGCACCTGCGCACACTTTCACGCGCGACTCTGCACGAGCCCGTATCTTAAGCATAACGATTGCCAAATTATTTCTTTAGGAAAATAACTGTAGCAACGAAAAAAATACAGCATACAGTTTGATAGGTAATAAATTGATGTCAATGGAACTGGAATATTTTACAGTGGCCACTTGAATCGTTGTAATAAACACAGATAAATTATTTATTTCAAAAAGGCTAAAACTCAGTACATTTTAAAATAATATTTATATAAATAAATTAGCCAATGATGGCTATGTCTTTAGATATAATGTTATATGTAATAATTATGATGTCAATGGTGGCTGTTAAGACATTAGATATAACGTAATTATTCAACTTGTTTCAATACACATGCAAACCATAAAGAAAACACACAAACAGAACAAAGATACTGATACACAGAAAATTTATGTTTGAAAATAAATCTGATTTCTCAATTCTAAAGCCAAAAACACACATGTTGCTAACTTTTTAGGTTTTCTGTTGACACAAGTTCATTAAATTCCAGTATGTGAGGATCTTTCATAAAATATCTATCAATGCATTTTGGTTGTAATTATTTATATACACAACGCTCAAATACAATGAAATTCATCTTCAATAGTTTCGCATACAAAGTCTTTCTTTTCATTTCTAGGTACTTCATTTGGCCTGGACTATAGGCCTGTTTCTATTGCTAATCTATCTGTTGACAGTCGAAAATTTTGTTTATGCAATTCTGAATTCAACAGAATCATTATTTTTTAGGTATGCTTTAAAACTCACACTTGAAAATAATCTATTATAAGAGGACACCCTTGTATCTTGGTGGTACTATCTACCGGGATTGTAAGACTTATTTGGCCCATCATCAAATAATACAAAATAAATATAGGATGAAATTATTATTTGCTGAAGAAGTTCCCATTAATAGACAGAAATACCTTTATTGGTGAAAATTCGATAAACATTTTCATGCGATGTTGGGTCCAAATGGTTAACAAAAATACTTGTTTATATGTGTAAAAAGTATTTGTTTGGAAAGGATTATTAAAAATTTTAACTTTCTTCAAAAGTTATTTGTAATATTTGGGTATTCCTGGTACAAAGCACATCCCGGTATAAAGCACCTGGATGATAGTACATGTATATAAATACAAAAAATGTACATACGTAGTTCTTAAGAATATTTTGTTTCATATTCTTATATCTTAACTATTGTTTTTCTCACATTTTTGTTTACAATTATTAAACTGATTTATATTAATTATTTCAAAATATCGCCGCTCCATTTGTGAGGAATTATTATGGTTTAGTCCAATCCAAAATATGGTAAATTACATTTAAAAGAAATGATCCCCCACCACCCTTCCTGGATTCGCGCATGCTTAAGGAGGTACAGTTGATTACACAACGTCTCACTAATGAACAACATTTATTTTAGAGCATATACGGTACTTCATGGGATCAGCAAGTATGAAAATCTAGTTTATAAAACATAAATAAAATAGAAACCTTTTTTTCTTAAATATCAGTTGAAAATCAGCGTGTTCAACCGTAGATTAAATTCAGAACAAGTTCCACTTGCAGCGCTTGTTTTTGTTTTTTAACAGTGGAGAGCCGTGTTTGAAAAAAATGGAAACCATAAAAAATGCAATTATATCTGTACATTATATGCGTAAAATTGAGATCTTTTAGTATAGATACGCTGGAGGCATATAAGATACAGAAAATAATATAAAGTATGTCTGTTAAATGCAGTACAATATCACGAAGATTAAAACAGATAGAAATATAAGACATTAACATTAAAATTTTTCAATTATTAAGAACACGATATCTGCATGGAAAATTACAAATTTCGTCTTCACAGACGATACATATATTTTTTTTTATACATATCTTGATTTCAAAAAAGGTGACAATTAGAAACATGTAACACCTTTTTTATCCTATAACCTACGTAATAACGAGGCTTGAAATAATATGCCAGTCTAATTACTGAATAGCATGTCAAACACAAATTAAGCAATTTCTAATTACGCAAGTTGCTCAAGGATGATTCTCGTTTAGTAAAAAAAAAATCGGAGCTGCAAACTGTTTTAAATGCGTCGGAAATACGACCGCATTTCGCCATCATTCGATTATGAGCAGAAAAAAAACCACATCAAAATCGAGTACATGTATTAATAATTTTTTACTAATCAAGAGATCACGCTTCCACTGTGCAATTACTGGGAATCCATCTGTTTGTTCTACGACTTGCCTTGTAATCATAACCTCCAAGAAAATCCGCATTATCAGCCGAATGACGTCATTGCCTACTTTACTAACTCGAGAGGAAAACACGTAAAGAATGCCTTCGGTTTGCGATGATATCAATTCTGGGTCTCTAAGTAAACAAAATTATTTGTGTTCAATACTCGCGACTCAATGGCAATCGGTAATATAGCGGGAATCGTAGAGTCAATTCTTGCAGAAATAACTTTGGAGTTTTAACGATCAGTTTCCGGTTGATAAGACGCTCATTAGCGAACTACAAATGGATCGGCAATATAACAAGCGTCTGTAACCCTTAGATTGAGGCTGAAGATGCTGATTGAGGCAGCGCTCTCTTTAATTAAGGAAAACACTCTCTGGCAAATTTGTCGTCATTTATTGCGCTGTTTGGCGACGCAAGAATTTCACCATGATTTTTTTCACGATAGAAATCATTCAGATTTACTTAGATGTAAAAGTGGTGATAGTGTAACTTACAGATCACGGCAGAAAAGCCACAATGAATTTACCGGAGCACCATTCAGCCACCGCATCGTTCCTGGGTTACCTTCACTTTCGCAAGGAACCGATAACTTCGGTACATGCTTGAGAAGAGCAAGGTCTTTTGAAAGTCCCTGAGCAGAGGTACAGTGCGAATGACCATAGAAAGGATTTCATGATCAGTCACAATGAAAGTAACCCAAACTGTCCGGGAATCGAATCCTGGCCGTTCGATTCACAGTCCAACGCTCTATCTATTGAGTTGTAAAATGTGGTCTAGTCCAAGGGTAAGTCCATTTGATAAAGGGTGATAACATATATTAAAAATAAAACTATTTTATAAATAAATAGACATTTAAAGAACTTAAAATCACAAGTAGCATTCAAAGGGTGTTTTATCAATTTTCTTTAATTTGACCCTAATTGCTGAGGGGTTGCTTTTAAGGGTTGATATGTAAGAATTGCATGCCATCGTTTATCCCTGCGTTAATTATTGTAAGAGGCGACTAAATGGATACGACCAATCAGTTCCTCTAACATGTATTATATAATTATCTAACTCATTATCTTCCTAATTGTGGAAGATTTTCAGACAGAATAAAATGCCTGGATATCAATAGATTTTGAACATTTTACCTGTCAGGCTAAGAATTATTTTTCCGCATAAATCTATAAATAGAATAGTTTGGCGTCTTCCGGTCTGTGAGTTTCTAAATTTAGAATGGACAAGGACGCCTGTAATTGATGTGACGTTTTATAGTTTTCGCGCTTGTATTGCTAGGTGGAATCTTGTACAGATTTATAGATACAGGATTACATCAGAGAAAAAATGTTGTGTTTAAAAGTATTTATGGAAAATTAGTTTGTAATAAATATATATTTGCAAGTTTTATTCATTCATTCATTCATTCATTCATTCATTCATTCATTCTTTCTTTCATTCATTCGTCCGTTCAATCGTTAATCCATTTCATTTCAGCATTTACTAATTCGGTTTATTTTAAAATATTCGCTAAATCAATATTCATTTATTCGTTCGTATGTTCGTTCGTTCTTTCGTTCATTAGACAAACCTTAAACCGCATTACCATGGATATAAATACGATGGTTAACTTATATTATCAATTGCAACTGATGACGCATACCATATGGTAGAAGTAGAAGTAAATTCTAATAAGCAACCATTCAATATGAAAAGTTAACACGTTGCAGATACAATGCAACCCATTTGTTTTTTTGTTATATACTCATCATTTGTAAAATATTTGACATGTATTTAATGCAACAAAATATATTTAAACTAAAAAAGTAACCGTTGCAAACATGATACCAAATAAGTTTGCGCGCGCAACACATACCGGAAACCACAAGGTCGACTGAATAATTCGCTTCGATTGGCTAAAGGCAGGCGGTGTTCAGGTAGAACTGTTCAAATCTGGTCAATTGTATATATCGTCGTCCAACGACGGCGATAATTAATTCTCTTGGTTTCGTTGTCGTCTTTCGTCCGAAAGTACACCGGAAGTCACTAAGTCGCAAATGATTAATATGGCGAACAATCAAACCCAATAAAGAATAAATCACTAAATTTGTCACGAAACAAAAACGAAATTGAATAAAAAAAGTCAGCATCTTTGTAAATTGGCCGTTTTTAAAGCTGGACATCTAATAAAGTTGGGAACAGAAGTGCAGTGTATTTATTCAACGCAGGAGACACTTCCGAACCCGTTTTATTGTAAAAGTCTAAGCGTCTCAGGAAATTGGCTGATTTATTTGTTGAATTTACTGTAACACTGATGGGTATTTACTACATTTTAGTCTCGGTGCTTTGGACGCACTGATCCTTTTGTCGTGAAGCTAATGTTTCACGCGGCAGTGTGTCTGAACGAAACAGTATATTGTCAATCAATTAATACAAGTTCTCATAAAAATTCAAGTCTTTCACTGTATATCTCTGCAGACAAAAAGAAATCTGTCAAATGTATGCCAATTGTGTGCTTCCGAACTAGTAAAGCATATGTTATATCTTTTCTGTCTTAACTTTAATCATTTTTAAGTGTTGACTAGATCGCGCCCCATTTCAAAACACACTCGAGTTTTCTAGATGTGATTT